GACATTGAAATGGCAGGTCTAGAGCTGGGGGTAGGGAGCTAAACTTCATTCTATAATGGGCATCATAATCCCCTGGAGGGCTTGTTAACACACACATCGCTGGGCCCCGACCCCAGAGGTTCTGATTCAGCAGGTTTGGGGCAGGGTCTGAGAATTTACATTTCTAAAGAAAAGTGACTTGAGGGCAGTGCATCTTTGCACGAATGGGTCTAAAAGTGGTATGCAGGGTGGGCAGGCAGGGATCCAGAGTAGGGTTGGGAAGGCTTCATGGCAGAAGTGGGGCAGGGCCACACCCACGCAGGTTGGCAGAGGAAGCAGGGAGGGGAGGGCACATCCAAGAGGCGTGGCATCTGCCATAGGTGGGACGGCGCACAGGGTTCCTGGAGAAATGTAGGTCCATGGGATCCAGTTCCTGTACCTGAGGCACGGGCCACCTGGCAGTACCAGAGAGAAAAGGCCCAGCAAGGAGGCTGCAGTTTCAACACAAGAAGGCGGTAGGGCCTGGCCTAGGACTTGGGCAGTTGTGGGTTCAAATCCTGGTTTCACCACTATGTGTAAAACCCTGAATGTGTTCCTCGACTTCCTGGCACACGGAATCCTTATTGCAGGCTTTTGCGGTGCCTACCCTTGTGTCGGCATGAAAATTAACCAAGGCAACATGCAAAGCACAGAGCACAGTGCCCGAAACAGCAAGCACACAATAATATTAGCTATAGTTTTGATTAACATCGTGTCGAAAGTCACAAAACAGAAAGGTCGCCCTTTCTGTTGACTCCCAAAAGGCCTCACAGGCTGGCGTTTACCCTGGTAAATTCACCACAGTCCAGATTTGGGACTTCAGTAATTCCTCCAGTGATATAAGAGCACCCTATTGAGTGTGAACTTTTTGCCAAGTGCTAGGGACACAGTGGCAAACACGATAGACAAAGTTCCTGCTCTCTTGGAGTTCACATTTGGTGGTCTTGCCAGCACATCCGCAGAGTAGCCAACTCATACTGGCCAAGCCACAGAGCCAGCAAATGAAACGGCTATTTAAAATGCATTACGGTCCCGTGGAGTGGAACCACCTCTCTCTGTGTGAAGGCTCGCGCAGTGGAAGGCCAGCGTGGTCAGAAGGCTGCTGGGTGGGCGCTGATCCAAGAGGGGAATCAGTGGGTGATTGTCAGTGGCCCGGCCACCTGCCTCCAGGCCACAGTGCTGGAGGCCATGAGCCAGGGCACCCTCTTCTTCAGACCCTAAGGCCAGCTTCTGCCCCTTGATTTTTCCTGTCTGAATGCCCAATCTGACAGCCCCTTGTGTGCACTTGGCCTCTCCAAATGGCGTATAAGACAATAACACTTACTTCCCAACCCTTCTCCCTGAAATTTCTTCCAGAGCTTCCTGACTAGGCTTTCCCTGAGTTCCCAAATATTATTCCGACATTTAAAGATGGTCCTGGGTCAAACACAGTGTGGATGTTGTTATTTGGCCCTCCAAAGACAACCATGTTTCCTACTCACAGATCCAACTTATTGTGAAATTTGGGGAGAGGGCATGTTACCATTGATCCCTTGAAGTGACAACCCAGGAGGGAGCCAGGCAGAAGCTGTATCACTTTTCATGGCCGAGGCGAGGTCAAAAGTCATGCAGCATCACTCCGTAGCATTCTATTCACTGGAAGTGAGACACAGAGCCAGTGCGTATTTGGGGGGAGGCGAGGGCGGGAATTAGACGTCACCCCTTGATGGGAGGAGTGTCAAAGAGTTTATGAAGTGTTCCAGAACCACGTTGGCTGTGTTCCACCCTCATGTTGGGTGCTACCTCTGACACCTATTTCCTCACCTTCCTCCCATTCAGCCAATCACCAAGCCTCGTGGATCCTACTACCAACAAACATCTCCAGATCTCTTCATTCTCTCATCTCACACCTGGACCACTGCGTCTTCCTAACCGACCTTCCTGCCTCCACTCTTTCCTCCTGTGACATTTAGGATTAGGTCCAGTTGCAGGCGACAACAAATTCAAATAACAGTGGCTTAACAAGATCAAAATATACTTCTCTTTTACGTAGAAGAAACTGATACATAGCTGTCCAAAGCTGATGTCATGACTCTGTGATTGTCAAGGCTCCAGGTTACTTTCATTCTACTGCTCCACAGACCTTAGCACACCCTGGTCCAAGATGGTTGCCCAAGCACCAGCCATCACTTCCACATTCCAGCCAGGAAGGAAGGAGTGAAGCAGGGTATGCCCTCCCCCTTTAAGAACCAGAAATTTCTACGTATACCTCATTGACTAGTACCTAGTCATGTTACCACATTTAGCTGCAAAGGAAGCTGGGAATGGAATCTTTAATTTGGGCCACCATATCCCTGGCTAAAATCTGGTTGTCAGTAACTAGAAGTCTTTGCCACACTCCTCTGAATCTACTGTCCACATAGCACCCAGAATCATTTCCTAAAAGGTGTATGTGAGCATAAAGCATATATCTGCTTAAAGCATTCAGTGGTCCCCTATCCCTTCTGGATAAAAACAAAATTCCTTAAAATGACTTCAACATTTTTCCTTTCTGGGCCTCTTCTCCATCCACTCCCACTAGTGACACTCTAGCTTCGAGGATACTAACCTACCTGTAGTTTTCAGCACATTCTCTCTCATCTTAAGGTTTTCTTGCATATGCTGTTCCCTCTACAAAAAATACTCTTTCGCCCTCTTTGCAGGTTCACTCTACCCAGGCTTCAGGCCTCAGCTTAGGCTTCACTGTCTTCCAAGAAGCCTTTTAGAGTTCCATGAAAATGTTTTGATTTCTTTTAAAAGCAGAAGAAAAAAAATGAACTTTTAGGTCAAAGAAAATGTTTGAATATATAATATTCATATATTTGTCTTAACACCAATGCAATTGTAAATATCACTTTTGATATTTTTCATGGAGAAAGGGGCTTATGAAAGCAAAGGTACTGAGGACCCACAAAAGTTATAACGTGGCCCTGCCCCCATGGGCTCCATAGGTCACTGTAGCTGTAGCTGGTCCTACACTACATCATAACTGCCAGCCACTTGATGATCTCTCCCAGCCGAGGGCAGGTCCTGTTTTGCTCCCCTCTGTATCCACAAATACAGTCCGATCCTAGGTAGATGCTCTGCAAACATTGGTGCATGACTGAATGAATGGGTGCCCTGACATCAGCTAATTGCAGGGTATGTGATGTGATCATCTCATCCCAGTGAAGATAAGGGTGCAGGTCCTACCTGGATCCACCTGTCTCTAACCTAGTGTTCTGTCTTGTTTCTAATACTAGGTATATGTGACTTGGGGCCACTCACTTAATCTCTCTAAATCTCAATATTGCCATCTGTAAAATGGAGCAATAATAGGTTCTGGTGAACAGTAAATGAACAAATACGCTACCTATGAGGGGCTTAGAACAGTACATACTGTATGTAGTAAGCACTCAGTAGTTATGACCTATGATTATTTGTTGTTGTTATGGCCAATTAGCGTCCTACCTCTCCCATGGGTATTTTCATTTAAGAACTGGCTCTTGAAGAAGAGAAGAAGAAGTTATTTACCTCCCTCCATCCTCCATCCCCCAATTATCATCCCTAACGGTGACATTTCAAGCTGTGTAGGACAACACTATCAGAAGCAGAGAGACCTCATGGCTTCGAGTCATGGTCTATGGTCCCTGCCTCAGTATCTTATGGGTCAGGGGACAGAGCAGGACCTATTACAGGGGAAAGGCATGGATATTAGAGTCTCACCCATTGGGTTCAAATCCCAAATCCAACCCTTCTTTTTTTTTTTTTTTTTTTTTTTTTTTTTTTTTTTT